GTGTGTGAGCGCGCGCGTGTGTGTGTGTGTGGGGGGGGGGCAGGGTGCTGGGGCGAGGGGTGTGGCAAGGGGTGTGGACGGGTCCGGGCACAGATCTGCACGGCTCTGCACGGATCTGCGCAGATCGGTTGCCCAGAAACGGCGCTCATGGGCGCCGCCCTGCATCACTCCTCGCACCCCTTGGATTCACGCGCTGGTGCCACGCACCCTGCCACGTCCCCTGCGTCCGAAGGCCCCGCCCCTGTGCAAACTCCTCCCTGAATCTGGACATTTGACTCGAATGCCCCCCCACACGCATCAAAACAGCCACGAGACCCCGAACCCGTAGACCCTGGATTCACGAGAACCCATGCAGCCACGAGACCCAAACCCCGTAAACCCTTGAATTCGAGATAACCCATGCGGAATCCCACCCACCTGTACTCGGGGCGGCCCCCCGCCCCGGACTGCACCCAGGCGTTGAACTCACGAGACCCTAAACCCTGGATCCAAAAAGTGTCTATGCAAATATCTAAGTCCACCCACCTGTACTCGGGGCGCCCCCCCGCCCCGGACTGCACCCAGGCGTTGAACTCCTGCAGCACCTTGGCAGCAACAGGCTTGAAGTCCGGGTCCTGGTTTGGTGGGAAGAGGGTGAGATGCAGGGGATGTGTGTGTGCATGTGTGTGTGTGTGTGTGTGTGTGTGCGCATGAGTGTGCTCGTATGTGTACGCACACGTGCACGCACACGCGCACGCACACGCGCACGCACGCATGCGCGCGCGCGCATGTGTGTGTGTGTGCGCGAGAGTGAAACCGGATTTTAGGACCCTCTTGCAGGCAGCCCCTGCGCCCTCTCGTTTATGTGTGACCTGAAGGATTGCCCCTCAAAAACACGCCAACCACCCAGCTTCGTGACTATCCAGCCTCCAACCACTCATCAACACACAAGAAAGAAATTGCAGTGCTTTTGATGTTTCATCCAATATAATATATAATATGTAATATAATGTAAATTATTCTATAATACTGTGAGACCCCACCTTTATCTTGATGCGGAACTCTGCGCCCTCAACCGGCTCCTTGAGGCCCCTCAGCAGCGCGGTGAGGTCACACCCCCCGCTGGTGATGTCACACCCCCCCAGACGCAGGTTGACCTGGAGGGTTGATCAAGGGGGGTGGATAAATGTTAGGAGTGTTTGTAAGATTGTGTAGTTGGTGTGTGCTTTGGATGTGTTGTGTGTTTGTGTGCATGAAGGGGAGGGTGTTCACGCTTGGCTTCATTTCTGGGTCGAAATGCATACAATCATCAGGCGATAGATGCCGCTCCAACACCGACCAACTGCTGGTCAAATGAGGACACTTTCATGGACCGCGTCGGCGCGTGGCTGACTTGACGCGGCGCGCGGCCACCCACCAGCTCGATGACGGCCTTCACCGCCAGATAGGCGCCGTCATCCAGATACCTGGGTTGCGCAGGGGTGACGTCATCGTGACGTCATGCAGGGTCCCCGGACGGTTTGGGGCGCCGCCGGCGTTTGGCGGCGGACGGCGCGGTGTGAAAGCAGCGCACACGCCATGCATGAGTTCAAACCCTCAGTGTCAGCACGCCACCATCACAACTTGAAAGCCGCCCCGAAACCGCCGGCAGAGGCACCCGCCTCTCCGCCCTGAGGGCTATGCGCGCCCTGACCTGCAGGGCAATCTGGCAGCTGCTCTCCCAAAGAGCACCCCAAATCACACGCGCGCACACACACACACACACACGCACACACACAAAGCTCCCGGACAAACCCACAGCGCAGGCAATGCTCCAGCACACAAAGCCGCCCCGCAGCTCACGCAGCCCAACAAACCCACATTCCGGAAGCGGCCCTTCCCCCCTAAGAAACAACTGCCGATAACAACCGCCGCCGGGGAAGGCGAATCAACCCGCATGTTCCCTCTGAGGGCTGCGTGGCTGCTGGTCTCCATCACAAGTTGGCGTCCCTCCGCACACAGTCATTCTCTCGCAAACTACCCCAACAAACCATACAGCACACACAAGCAAAACCTCTCACAAGCAAAACCAGCCCACGGAGCCCAAAAGCCCATGATCCAGCGGTCGCTCCTCCCGACTATGCCGAAAAAATCAGTAAAGAATGCCCACAAAAGGCGCGGGAACGGCCGGACGCGCCTGTTCTCCCGCAGGGCCCCGTGGCCGCTGGTCTCCATCATGAGTTGGCAGTCCTCCCCCGCGGCGTTGAGCTCCACCCCCTTGTTAATCACGTTGCGGTAGCCGCGCTTGTACCTGCCAGGCGGAGGTTATTGTTGGGATGAGTCGGTGCGGTTTTTTGGTTGGCTAGTTTGAAGCTAGTTCAGACTCAATCGCGTGCATGTGATGAGGAAATCCCAACCCCCTAATCCCCAACACACCCCCAACCACAAGCGAAAATCAAATTCAAGTGTTTGATTTTCGCCCCCCCACCTGAAGTGCTTCCCGCCCAAACTGGCGATGAAGTCCGTCAGCCCGTTGCTGGTGACGCTGTCGGTGACGATGGTGGTGCCCGGGTGGTCGCGCAGTGTGATGGCCGCCATGAGGGCGATGAAGCGGTTCGAGTTGATGGGGTTGCCCTGGCCGCGGGTGGTTGGTAGACGGTTGGTGGCGGTTAGGGGCGCTAGGCCCAGCAGCGGTGAAGGTGATTGTGATACACGCATGCACATGTGCACAACTTCACGCGCCCGCAAATCCGCGCGCCCACCATTGAGTCGACGATCCCAGATCTGTCGACGTCCGTGTCCACGATGATCCCGAGATCCGCCCCTGAAGTCGAACAGGCAAAATCGGACGGGCAGCAAGCGAGGGGGGGTCAGGCGGCAGGCGGGCAGGGCGGCGGTCGGACAGCGGCCAGGCGGGCGGTGGTTGAGTGGCGGTCGGGCGCCACGGCCCGTCTGCTCTGCGAGTTCAGGACGGGCCGCGGCGTCCCGCCGCGACGGCGCCAGCAGCGCTGAAGAGCAAACGACCGTGAGGGGCGAAGCACAGCCCGCCCCGCCCGGTGGGCGGCGTTGACGCCTGCGCCCATGGCCGCCCCTCGGGGTCGGGACAGCAGCAGCCCCTAAGCCCGGGCAACTAACTGACCCCCAAACGGCAGGTGGGATGACGCCCCTCAATACACGAAGTAACACCCCAAAACAACAAAAACACCAACAGCAACAACAACAACAACAACAACAACAACAACAACAACAACAACAACAACAACAACAGCACTGCATCCGTTTGAAGCTTTTGTACACTTTGCGGTGCATGCCGAATGCCGGCACCCGCCCTCTTCAATGCCCGCATCCATCGCCGCCCCGGCCTCGGGACTTGAGGCGATTAGCACCTCCGACCCCCCCACGCGCACCATGCGCCCGCGCCTGAGCGCGTCTCAAACGCCTCCAAGCAACACGTGGGATGAGGAAGCCTCCGACAAGGGCAAACCCCCGAAAAACACCCCCCCGAAATTGCTGAGCAAGGCGTTCGAAACGCACCCGCACGCTTGACGGCGTCGATGCCCGCGTCCATGGCCGCCTTGGCCTCGGGGTTTGGTATGTGGTTGGGGAAGGTGCCGTCCGGCTCCAGGAACTGACTCCCGCTGACGTCAGCGCCCAGGGGGGCCA